CGACCACAGATACTGGAACCACGTCAACTGATACACATGAGACGACAACAGGTTCTGCAATTAGGTCAAGTGATACGCAAGAGACGACAGCAGACACTGGAACTGGGTCAATTGATCAGCAGGATATGACCACAGACACTGTAACAGACTCAATCAAAACGCAGAAGAAAACAACAGTCACTGGAACTGGCTCAATTGATGACCATGAGACGACAATAGTCACTGGAACTGGGCCAATTGATACGCAAAATAGAACAACAGACACCAGAATTTTTTCAAATGACACGCAGGAGACGACAGCAGACACTGAATTTGGGTCAATTGACACACAGGAGATGACAACAAACACTGGAACAGGGTCAATTGATACGCAGGAGACGCCAGCAGAAACTGGAATTGCGTCACTCATAAAGCAGAGCACAACAGCAGATGCTGGAACTGGACCAATTGATACGCAGGAGACGACAAAAGAAACTGGATCTGTGTCACTCATGACGCATAAGACAACAACAAACACTGGAACTGAGTCACTTCATACGCAAGAGAAGACATCAGAAACTGGAACTGAGTCAATTGATACGCAAGAGATGACAACAGGAACTGGAACAGGGTCAATTGATACCCAAGAGAAGACAACAGGAACTGAAACTGAGTCAATTGATACACAGGAGACCACAAAAGACATTGGAACTGCGTCAATTGATACGCAGGAGAGCACAACAGACATTGAAAATATGTCAACCGATACACATGAGAGCACAGTAGACACCACTGTATCTGGCTCAGTTGGACAGCAGGGGACTACTTCAAACTCTCAAATCGGGTCAGTAACGGACTCTGGTGATGGCCCAGGGAATACCGAAGATACCACAGCGCGTTCTGAAACTGGGTCAAGCGATACGCAGGGTACCACATCTGTTTCTGCAATTGGGTCAGAGGATACGCAGAAGACAGCGAAAGAAACTGAAATTGGTTCAACTGATATGCAGGAGAGGACAACAGACACTGGAAGTGGGTCACTTGATACACAAGAGACGACAACAGGAACTCGAACAGGGTCAATTGATAAACAAGAGACGACAACAGACACTAGAACTGGGCCAATTGATACGCAGGAGACGCCAGCAGAAACTGGAATTGCGTCACTCATAAAGCAGAGCACAACAGCAGACGCTGGAACTGGACCAATTGATACGCAGGAGACGACAAAAGAAACTGGATCTGTGTCACTCATGACGCATAAGACAACAACAAACACTGGAACTGAGTCAGTTCATACGCAAGAGAAGACATCAGAAACTGGAACTGAGTCAATTGATACGCAAGAGATGACAACAGGAACTGGAACAGGGTCAATTGATACCCAAGAGAAGACAACAGGAATTGAAACTGAGTCATTTGATACACAGGAGACCACAAAAGACATTGGAACTGCGTCAATTGATACGCAGGAGAGCACAACAGACATTGAAAATATGTCAACCGATACACATGAGAGCACAGTAGACACCACTGTATCTGGCTCAGTTGGACAGCAGGGGACTACTTCAAACTCTCAAATCGGGTCAGTAACGGACTCTGGTGATGGCTCAGGGAATACCGAAGATACCACAGCGCGTTCTGAAACTGGGTCAAGCGATACGCAGGGTACCACATCTGTTTCTGCAATTGGGTCAGAGGATACGCAGAAGACAACGAAAGAAACTGAAATTGGTTCAACTGATATGCAGGAGAGGACAACAGACACTGGAAGTGGGTCACTTGATACGCAAGAGACGACAACAGGAACTCGAACAGGGTCAATTGATAAACAAGAGACGACAACAGACACTGGAACTGGGCCAATTGATACGCAGGAGACGCCAGCAGAAACTGGAATTGCGTCACTCATAAAGCAGAGCACAACAGCAGACGCTGGAACTGGACCAATTGATACGCAGGAGACGACAAAAGAAACTGGATCTGTGTCACTCATGACGCATAAGACAACAACAAACACTGGAACTGAGTCAGTTCATACGCAAGAGAAGACATCAGAAACTGGAACTGAGTCAATTGATACGCATGAGATGACAACAGGAACTGGAACAGGGTCAATTGATACCCAAGAGAAGACAACAGGAACTGAAACTGAGTCATTTGATACACAGGAGACCACAAAAGACATTGGAACTGCGTCAATTGATACGCAGGAGAGCACAACAGACATTGAAAATATGTCAACCGATACACATGAGAGCACAGTAGACACCACTGTATCTGGCTCAGTTGGACAGCAGGGGACTACTTCAAACTCTCAAATCGGGTCAGTAACGGACTCTGGTGATGGCCCAGGGAATACCGAAGATACCACAGCGCGTTCTGAAACTGGGTCAAGCGATACGCAGGGTACCACATCTGTTTCTGCAATTGGGTCAGAGGATACGCAGAAGACAACGAAAGAAACTGAAATTGGTTCAACTGATATGCAGGAGAGGACAACAGACACTGGAAGTGGGTCACTTGATACGCAAGAGACGACAACAGGAACTCGAACAGGGTCAATTGATAAACAAGAGACGACAACAGACACTAGAACTGGGCCAATTGATACGCAGGAGACGCCAGCAGAAACTGGAATTGCGTCACTCATAAAGCAGAGCACAACAGCAGACGCTGGAACTGGACCAATTGATACGCAGGAGACGACAAAAGAAACTGGATCTGTGTCACTCATGACGCATAAGACAACAACAAACACTGGAACTGAGTCAGTTCATACGCAAGAGAAGACATCAGAAACTGGAACTGAGTCAATTGATACGCAAGAGATGACAACAGGAACTGGAACCAGGTCTATTGATGAGCAAGAGGCGACAACAGACACTGGAACTGGGCCAATTGATACGCAGGAGACGCCACAAGAAACTGGAACTGCGTCAATCGAAACGCAGAGCACAACAGCAGACACTGGATCTCGGTCATTTGATACGCAGGAGGCGACAACAGACACTGTAACTGGGCAAATTGATACACAGGAGACGCAAGAAGAAACTGGAACCGCGTCAATCGAAACGCAGAGCACAACAGCAGACGCTGGAACTGGTTCAATTGATACGCACGAAACGACAAAAGAAGTTGGATCTGCGTCACTCATAACGCATAAGACAATAACAAACGTTGGAACTGATTCAATTCATACGCAAGAGAAGATGTCAGAAACTGGAACTGAGTCAATCGAAACGCATACGACAACAAAAAACACTGGAAATGGGTCAGTTGATACGCAAGAGATGACAACAGACACTGGATTTGGACCAACTGGTACGCTGGAGACTTCAGAAGAAACTGGAACTGAGTCAATCAAAACGCAGAGGACAACATCAGAAACTGCAACTCGTCCAACTAACACGCATACACAGGAGACGATAAAAGACACTGGAACAGAGTCAGTTAGTACGCAAAAGACAACAACAGACGCTACAATTGGTTCAATTAACACGTGGGAGACGACAAAAGGCACTTCAACTGGGTCAAATGTTACGCAGGAGACAACAGAAGAATTTGGGACTGAGTCAATTTATACACAAGAGTTGACACTAGGCACTGGAACTGTGTCAGTTGATACACAGGAGACGACAACAGAGACTGGAACTGAGTCAAATGAAACGCATAAGATAACAACAGACCGTGTAATTTGGTCAGTTAGTACGCAAAAGACAACAACAGACACTGGAACTGGTTCAATTAACACGTGGGAAACGACAAAAGACACTGCAACTGGGTCAGTTGATACACAGGAGACGACAATAGACACTGGAACTAGGACAACTGATACGCAAGAGATAACAGACGAAAATGGAACTGAGTCAATCAAAACGCATAGAACAACAACATATGCTGCAGCTGGTTCAGTTGATACGGAAGACACGACAACAGGCACTGGAAATGGGTCAATTGATATGCAAGAGACGACAACAGACACTGCAACTGTGTCAATTGATACACAGGAGACGACAACAGATACTGGAACTAAGTCGATAGAAACGCGGAAGACGACAACAGACACTGCAACTGGGTCAAATCGTACGCAGGAGACGCCAGAAGAAACTGGGACTGAGTCAATTGAAACGGTTAAGACAACAACAGACACTGGAATTGGGCCAATTGATACGCCTGAGGCGACAACAGACACTGGAACTGAGTCAATAGACACGCATAAGACAACAACAGACACTGTAACTTGGTCAGTTAGTACGCAAAAGACCATAACAGACACTGGGACTGAGTCAATTAAAACGCTTAAGACAACAACAGACACTGGAACTGAGTCAAATAAAACTCTTAAGACAACAACAGACACTGGGACTGTGTCAATTGAAACGCTTAAGACAACAACAGACACTGAGACTGAGTCAATTAAAACGCTTAAGACAACAACAGACACTGGAACTGAGTCAAATAAAACTCTTAAGACAACAACAGACACTGGGACTGAGTCAATTGAAACGCTTAAGACAACAACAGACACTGAGACTGAGTCAAGTAAAACTCTTAAGACAACAACAGACACTGGGACTGAGTCAATTGAAACGCTTAAGACAACAACAGACACTGGAACTGAGTCAAATAAAACTCTTAAGACAACAACAGACACTGGGACTGAGTCAATTGAAACGCTTAAGACAACAACAGACACTGAGACTGAGTCAAGTAAGACTCTTAAGACAACAACAGACACTGGGACTGAGTCAATTAAAACGCTTAAGACAACAACATACATTGGGACTGAGTCAATTGAAACGCTTAAGACAACAACAGACACTGGGACTGAGTCAATTGAAACGCTTAAGACAATAACAGACACTGGGACTGAGTCAATTAAAACGCTTAAGACAACAACAGACACTGGGACTGAGTCAATTAAAACGCTTAAGACAACAACAGACACTGGGACTGAGTCAATTGAAACGCTTAAGACAACAACAGGTTCTCGTACTCGATCGAAGGTCCCAGACGAAATGACAACGGGAGCGTATCCTGAGTCAACGGACATTCTAGATACGACTGTAGATTCCAGTCCGAAGATGACAAATACACAACAGACACCAACAAGCTCTTATGTTAAGAGGACAACTTCAAGCACTGAAATTGAGAGCACTTTGAAATATAATACGACATCGGAAACTAGTACTGGAACGGCGAATACCCAGATGACAACATCAGGCACTGTTATCGGAAGTGCCAAAACCGAAATTACAAACTCTGGCTTTCATACTGGCTCAACGGATAATCAATCCATAATAACTGGTTCTGACACTGGGTCTACGCTCACTCAAAGAATAACAACATTCCCTGGTACTGAATCAACAGATATTAAGTTGTCAACGACATTCTTCGGTACTGGATCCACGGAAACGCAAAGTTCCCCAACAACCTCTAGATCTGTGTCGATGGAAACACATGAGACGACAGCACATTTTGGTACTAGTTCAAAGGATGCGCAAAAAACGACAGCAAGTTCTGCTAATGAATCCAAGGACTCTCAAGAGACAACAACAATGTATGGGAATGGAACCACGGACACGCAAACTCCGACAATAAGTCGTAACTTTGGGTCTACAGACACGTATGAGACTGCAATAACCTCTATTGACGGGACAACTGACACGCTTAAGACAACATTAGACGACGGCAATGGAACGATGGACACGCAAGACACGTCAGTAGGATTTGGTACCAATATGACTTATACACAGCAGACCAAAACAGACTCTTATCGTAATGGGACAACTTCAAGTACTGAAATTGAGAGCACCATCAATCACAATACAACATCAGAAACTAGTACTGGAACGGAAAGAACTCAAATGACTGCATCAGCACCTGATATTGGGAGCACGACTTATCAACCATCAACATCAGGTACGACAGCAGTCACTGGCACTAGGTCAGCGGGTACGCTTGAGTGGAAAACAACCTCTAGCGGGGGGTCAACATACATGAATGAGACTGCCTCGGGTTCAAATACTGGGTCATCGAATACTCGTATGACAACAACTGTATCCGGTGTTGGGTCAACAAATACCCTCGAGTTGACAACAGTTTCTGGCACCGTTTCATCAAATTATCGAACAGCCACAACAACCATGACCACTGGATTGGCGGTTATGAATGAGACAACAGCAAGTTACGATACCGTTTCAACCAATAGGCAGAAAACAATTACATATTCTGATATTGGGTCAATTGGTACAACAGAGAATCCAACAAGTATTGAATCAACGAATACTCAAAAGACGACACCAGTATCTGGTACTAACACGGAAAATACTACAACTGGGGCAGGCACCAGGTCTCTGATTACTCAAAGGACGACAACAGGCTCGGGTAAAGGGTACTCGACAACCCACAGGACAAGCTCGGAGAGTGTTAATGAATCTATGAATACTGAATTTTCAATCTCAGGCTCTGGTACTGGAAGCTTGAGCATTACAAACACGACATCGGCTAACAATGACGGTAGCACTGTTATTCAAAGGACAACCTCAAGCGCGGCGGACATTCTGAGCAGCAGCAATCAGGTTACAAGATCAATATTTAGTACATTGCCGTCAAGTACTCAATTTAAAACACCCGGGGCTGATATTGGGAGCACATTTATTCAAGGGACGACATCAGGAACTGATACTGGGGGATCTCGCCAGTCCACGCCTGGAAGTGTTGAGTTGACCACAAATTCTCAAAGCAGAATATCAAGTTCTGGTACTGGGAGTACCGTGAATCAAAACACAACATCCGCTGTTGATACTGAAAAGACAACTTCGGGTATCCTTTACGGGAGTACAAGTAAACCGAATACGACCTCAGTCACTGATACTGCTTTCACGAACACTCAGAAGACAACGCCAGGAGTTATCACTAAGATCACGAGTACGCGAGCTACAACATCAAGCTCTGGTAGTGGGAGACCGAATACCGAGAGTGCGACATCAAGTACTGGCACAGGGAACACCGTCAATCAAAATACATCATCAAGTATAACCGGTCGAGAGACCACAAATTCTCAGAAGGAAATTTCGTTTACTAGGGGCACGATTACCAAACATACGGGTTCTGGTACAAGCACTATTACTCATGTTCCGACATCTACAACTTCTGTTTCAATACCCATGACACCATTTGAGCGCAAAATTTTGGAGCTGCATAACCGAAAACGCACACTTGCAGGGGTGGGAACTTACTCATGGGACGATCAATTAGAGAAACGTGCCAGAAAATGGTTGCCAACGATTTGCTCTTCGGTTAGTTTTATGAGCAACGACGCAACGCAAAACTGGTTCTTTTTACCTGGACTATCAGTCGGTAATCAGAGTAGAAATCATATAACTGAGCAGTTGTTTTTTGAGAACTACGATGAAGCCAAAACTACTTTCGAATTTGCCGACGATACAACTCGTGATATTGCTGGCTGCTACAACAGACAACAGCGGAAAAACAATACACTGATGTCCAAAGTGTATTTCATGCGAAATATATTTTTTAAACAGTTCTCCAAGTTAGGATGTGCTTATCATGAGTGTCCAAATAAGGCGCCTGTGATTGGGTGTCAATATCAAATCAACAAAACCGACAGTCAAATGTTCTCAAATTACAACTTTTTGAGAATGTGCGAAGCGGAACCGGACTGGAAAAGTTGCAATGTCGGTCTAAATAATCAGTGTGATAATGCATGGGCTAATCCAACACCACCCCCGTTGCATCCCTTTAGAAATACCATAACGGAACTGTTGAATGAGAAAAGACGTTTGGCAGGAGTTGGTCTCTACTTTTGGGACCTTGCAATGCAACAGTATGCTCAAAGTGTTCTAATGGCTGCATGCAATCAGACGTTCTACCAAAGCAACTACATGATCCTAAGCTACAAGACTCCTCAAGGTCAAGTTTTAGACATAGAGGACATGGTTAGATCGAGTTTCAACATGCAGTATGAAAAAGCAGTGAACACTTTTGAGTTTGAAGGAGATCGATCGAATGATATTTCAGGCTGTTTCAGTCCCCAAGAATTGACTACTCAAAGTGTAATCAGATCGATCGACTTCGTGCGAAATGTGTTTTTCTATTGCTTTCAAAAACTTGGCTGCGCCATGACCCAATGTCCGAAAGGCTCTCCCATAAGCCAAACTGACGTCTACGTCATGGCTTGCATGTTTGAGCCTTACGCCACTAGTGACCAGCTGTTTCATAACCAGAACTTTCTCCGGATGTGTTCGGCAGAACCTAACATGTGGCAAAGTTGTGACCCAGATTTGGACGCCAAGTGTCAAGCAGCATCTTGGTTACCCTGCATTCCAGGAGACGAATTGTGCGCATACAAGGTGCTGATGGAGCTTCTGAAGCAGTTTCCGTCTTCAACTACATTGGCTGTAAACGAGCCAGGGGCCAATCCAGATCACGTGACTGGTTCGGCACACCTGAAAAAAACTAATCGTGGCGCCATATTAGTATCTGTTATGGCCATCGCTATTTTCATTTGGCCACAGCAAAAAAGCAGTCTAAGGATGGAAATTGTTTTACGGTAATCATAACTCACAAACTTGTTACCATTGCTGATCAGAAAAGTGCGTTTAAAAAAGATCGCAAGTCATAAAAAATTGTGATACAGTCTCAACAAGGAATATCAGTTGAAAATGTATACTTGATGTGAATAAAAAAGGTTGATTTATACCTATATTCTGATATTTAATCTTGTGATTTAAAAGTGAGTGCGAAATTTTGTGAGATAAATTTAAATGTGATTCCAAATACTTTCAATGTCTAACACAACCGGGCCAAGATTGCGGTTTTTTTATCCAGATTATCGCCACTATGTTTGGTATTTTCAAACTATTGCGACCAAAATAGCTTATTTTTAGACTCCCGCAAACAAACTTTGATTTTCAAACATTTCACTTCAAACAGATGTGTCCGCGACTGGCGCTACACGAGAAAAATCTACGGTCGTTGCGTTTGTCAGAAATTAGCTGTAATTTGTGCGATAAAACGAGGCGCGTTTAGTTTTGAACTTTTGGTCAGGGGTTTGGTAAATTAGACGATGAGCAAATTGGACCGAGGCTCTTAAAAGGAAATAAAGCGTTTTTACAAAACCCCCATTGTGAGAAAATAGACGAAAGTAAGAGAGATTAAAAATGTTTGCAGACAAATTGCATGAGAAAAATAAAATTGTTTGCAGACAACAGTTAAATTTCGGGTTCAGTATTTAGACAACCGCGTATTCAGACACTGTATTAACCAATCAGAATCGAGGCAAGGAAGAAATGAATAATTAATAATCATTTATTTTGTAAATTTGCTTTCTCACCTCGATTCTGATTGGTTAATACAGTGTCTGAATACGCGTTTGTCTAAATACAGACCGCACTCGTAGCCAAAAATGCAAAATTTCAAAATAGTTCCATCAAAATCTCGAGGTAAACAAAATTTTATTACCGACGAAGGTTATAGATTTAAAAAAGACAACAAAACCAAAATTGGTTGTCATTATTGCTGTGTTATCTGCAATTGCTTCGGAAGATAGATGACAAATTTAGAAATTACAAATTGTGTTTCAAAAATCAGGCAACCACAGTCACAAAACCCGACATTATGTACAACGACGAAAAAAACTTTCGCCAAAAAATTCTGACCGAAATCTTAAAAGATCCGCAAAACTGGTGAAAATGATTTTCGACGAGCAAGTTAAACTGAATTCGGAAATCGAAAATCTACCGATCTAAGTATCACAAAATTAGCAGCGGTCTACTAAAAAGAAGCAAAATCGAGCTTTGCTAAAAATCCGAGAACTTTAGAGAATGTGAAAATAGATGGTATATGTAGTATAAGAGCGACAATCAAGATTTTGCGTTGCATCAAGATGATGGATTAGGGATTTTTTGTTTGCTAAAAACCTCCCATTTTTGCAAAAAAAAGTCAAAAAAATTTTGTGTGAATGAAATTTCAAGACTGCACCAAAACTGTTTCGTCAATTTTTTACAATATTAGCAAAGTTCCGTTATTTTGGTCTCTGATGTCCAAAAAAACAGTGGAAGCTTACACAAAAATTTGTTCAAAAAAATTGACAAAAAATTTGAAAGAATCGGGTTTGAGCCGAAAACTGAAAATTTTCTTCCAAAAAATCGACGATTTGGTCAATAATTTCGAAAAAACTTGGATCCAAAAAAATGGAGTTCTTATGTGGAACGTTTATGATAGACCACAAAATATCCAAACAACAAACGCCTGCGAATCATGGCATGCTTGCTCGAACAGAAAAACTGAAAGAAACCACCCATCTAATGGGTAGTTGTGGAAAAATTGAAAAAACAGGAAAAATTTCCAAAAAAAGTATCCTCAAAAGTTTCGAAAGATGAACCTCAACCTCCACAGAAAACGTGGCGTCTACTCAAGGTCAAAATCCAGCAATTGCAAAACAATTTTGAGGAGAATATTATCAATTTGGACAATTATTGGAACAAAATAGCCGTTATTTGCCAAAGTTTGTACAAAGTTATCGTCACTCTTCTGAAATATTCGGATTTGACGTTTTATATTCATTTAGATTAATTGTTTTGATAAACAAAAAGAAACAAATCACAAAAATTCAACATAAATTGTTCAACAATTTTGAAATAATTTGTTTTTTGATAATATATATTCACATGGCCTATTGTTCCACTTTGGAGGAAAACGATGGGTTATTTGTGCTCGGGGTGAATTTTTCTCCAGACAAATTTCGACTTCTTTACAAGCCATTTTTGGCGGAGACTTTTTATATCAGCTGAAAAACATAGTTGTGTTGAGCTCAAAATTAACAAGATTGCTCGAGTCAGTGCAAAGCCCTGAATGTTCCGAGTGCCTTAAAAAGGTCTTGGAGCAGTAATAACACAAAAAAATTTTTAATTTAATTTAATAAAAAAAAACTTTTTTAAAAGAAAAATTGATTTTTTTTTTAAATTTTCCACCTCACGCTCTAAAAAGTACTTAAGTACATAATTATAAGTTGTGATGCAAACTAATTTTCTGAGCTAAGAATTGTAACAAATTGAATTATGGCAAATTATTGGGAGGAAAAAAATGTTCAAAATCTTGCAATCATTCAAACTTTAATAAACAATAGACTTTTAGTGCAAAAAAATCATAGTCATTGTCACCAGTGTTTTGCCTTGGTAGGAATAGTTCTGCTAACCTTTGGAGTCTAATTTTCGAACAAAGATACAGAATACTCGTGCTCGGTCAGGTATTGTTGCTCGAGACACATCTTGACGTTTCAAAGAGAATTACATTTCTCTGTATGAAATGTAATCGCAATACTTTTGCAGTTAGTCGATTGTTTCTAATTCACTATAATTCACTAATTCACAAGAAAGGACGGACTATTTGTGCTCGGTAGAGATGGATCTCAGAAAATGTTAAGAGGGCAGACTTTAAAAAGTGTTCCGAGCAAAACACTTTAAAGACTTTGTTTGCAATTTTTTTGCCATCAGCAAAAATATTAAAATTTAGGCCAAAATGCAGATTTTAGGTTTTTCAGAATAACTTAACATTGGCGCTGAGGGAACCTTTTGATAGTTTTCAGGTTCTGCAGGTTCCTATTGGTGGTTCCAATGAGTTCCTAAAATAGCACCAAGAAGTCGAATTCTTCAGTTGGGGAGTGCGCTTTATCAGCAACTAATTCACGGTTGCCTCTATTTCACTTTTTCAATTGTTGCTTACAAAATGGAAATCAAGAAAAAAATATCGATGAAGTCTTCGTCAATTTAATCAAATCATCGTATTAAAATAAATAAACGGTTTAAATTGTTTTCTCAATATTATGTATGCACTACAAACCAAGTGCAATTTAAAGGTCATATGTTCCAGAGAATTCTGATACATCAGCAAATTTTCGCTTGAAAAAAAAGCCAAAAAAATTTAGGAACAAACTTCATATACAATTCATAGAAACAACAGGGTATGCGGTTGTTTATCTGCAAATTTCTGGACAAACTCATGAGAATAAAAAACAAGCAAAAAAACAGAAAAAAAAAGGTTTTTTTCCTCGTTGTGCGATAAGAGCAACTAGAAAAACCTTTAGTCAATAACCGAGTTATGCTTAACCTACTATTGAAGAGTTTGAAAAATGAAGAACAGCACAAAAATTAAAGAAAAGAATTTGAAAAATTCAACAAAACAGATCTTTAAACTATATCAATTTTGGACAGTTTTATTTTGATTGTTTCAGAAACTTTTCTGGTCGAATATTTGCTAGTTTAAGCTTTAAAAACGAACTGACTTGGAACAAAGTTGAATTTTTATAGCCTTTGAAAAATCGTTTTCTGTTATAACAACAACTGCAAACGCAGGTTCTTGCAAACATCTGAATTAGCACTTTTTTACATGTTATTTCCAAGAGTAACTAATATGAAGAATAAATAGCAGTAACAGATTTTAAATGTTTCAACAATATTTTTTTCAAACTATATTTCGTATAATCCTATTTTGATTTTTTTTTCAAAAATGAGCTAGAAATTTTCTGAAAGATTGTTTTACATGCATTCATACAAATTTTTTTATGTTTTTTTTTGCATCAGAGGAAGCACTATTTAGCAATTGCCGCTGTGAGATTTTGCTGAGTAGCTGCTAGAGACTAGCAGAAACTTCAAAAATCATTGATTATGACAAAAACAGCAAAAAATTATTTAGAATTAATTTTGTATTAGACTTTTTGATCTTTTTTCAATGTTTTTGATTCTTGCATATGGAAATCAATACTGCAAGAATCTTGGAAATCCAATGCAAAACAAAGCAAGAGAAGTGTATTTTCTTGCATTTTTTTGAGCACGATTTTTTAAAAATTAAACTATTCCAAACGGTTTTTCTCGACATTGAGAATTTTTTTTTTAGAACTTTCAAAAAATCATTTGTATCGCGACTAAAGGTTTTCTTCTGGAGAAGATTAATTGTGGTACCAATTGTTTTCATTGCATAAAGGGCGGCAATTAATTCGTAAATTTGATCAATAGTTTAAGTCCTGCCTGCATCCAAACCCAATGTGCTGCGCGAAACAGCATTTGAACAGCAAAGTGAGATCAGACCCACTAGGTTTGAATCTTTATTCAGCTTACAGAGTCCTATGAGTTCACCGTATTTACAGCTAGCTAAAATTATTTTTAAGAAAACTGCAATATTTTAGTATAACCGAACTTTTATCACTCCCACTTATACCCTAGTACGCTAGTCGGTCAAGAGAGGTTATCTTGCAAGATCTTGCAAGATCTTGCAAGTTTCTTACAAATGAGGGTTATCAGATGATTTTTACTTAATTCATGGTCGCAATGCTTCATTCCACGGCTCATATCTTTATGTTCTAATGACTTGCTAATGCCTCAATTTGTTTTAAAAATTCCATTTCAAAGGAGTCAAAAATTTAAGTTTTATCCTGATGATTTTTAGTTAGTTCAATGCTTCATTTTACGCTAAAAAACCAATTGATAAAACTTTACATCTTTTATAACTCGTTTTTAAAGCACTTGCAACCTCGAACTTCACAAAAAAAGGTCGTACAATTTTCAATCTTTGCAATCTTTCTTTATTATTTTCATGAATTTAAGAGTTTTTTTAAAATATTTTTGCTTACATTCAAGATTTTTGACACGATCTTGCCAAGTTTCACATTTACAATTCACAATTTTTCAAAAATCCTCAAGAGTTGCTAAAGATCACAAAGATTGCTGGGCTTGGGGATAGATTTAGGGG